TTACTATGTAATAACATGTTTACATTGTTAAACCATTGTAATTACATCATAGTGACATCCAAGATAATATTTATAAATGTAAATGTTTCTTTGTATATTGCATGTACAGTATTTGGTTACTTATAGTTGTATGCACAAATGTACACAATACACATGTTATTGCAAACTTAATTAACTATGTCGTTACATTGTAACTACATCCAAGATAATATTTATAAACATATTTCTTTGTACATTTCAAGTAGGTATATATGTAATTACAAACTTTTATTTTGGATGTAATGACATTGTAACTACATTGTTATAATATTGTAATTGGCGGTTGATTCCGCTGTGGTGACCCTGGATTGATAAAGGGACTAAACCGAAAAGAAATAAAATGAATGAATAACTTTGTAATTACATCTAACATGTAATTTTAAAGTTATATCTTGTGTGCAACTACTGTGTCATTACATTGTTACTACATTGTAGTTACATCCAAGATAATATTTATAAACGTATATGTCTTTGTATATTGCAAGCACAGTATTTGGTTATTTATAGTCGTATATGCAAATATACAGTACTCATGTAATTACAAGCATAGTAACTGTCATTACATTGTTATGACATTGCTACTACATTGTAATTACATACATAATGATTATACACTTAAATGTTTCTTTGTATATTTCATGTACAGTATCTATGAATTTATATGTCAATTATCAAAGTAATTACAATCTTTTATTTTGGATGTAATTGCATTGTCATTACGTTATAATTACTATGTAATAACATGTTTATATTGTTATAACATTGTAATTACATTGTAGTTACATCCAAAGTAATATTTATAAATGTAAATGTGTCTTTGTATATTGCATGTACAGTATTTGGTTATTTATAGTTGTATACACAAAAATACACATTTAACATTTGTAATTACAAATTGTCATCTTGTGTGCAACTACTGTGTCGTTACATTGTAGTTACTTTGTCAGTAAATTGTTGTTACATTGTAACTACAGCCAATATACAATTTATAAATACTGTACATATTTCTTTGTATATTTCAAGTATTTGCATATTTCTATGTAAATATATACAGTACATATGTTATTACACACTTTTATTTTGAACATAATGACATTGTAATTACATTGTTCTAACATTGTTATTACATCTGAGATGCAATTACAAACTTAAATCTTGAGTGCAATTTTTGTGTTGTTACATTGTAATTACTGTGACTTTACATTGTACATCCCAGATAATTTGTACAAATGCTATTTTTTCTTTATATATTGCATGTACAGAATTTTTGGTTATTTATAGTTGTATATGAGAGTTTACACAGTACATATGTAATTGCAATCTTTTATTTTTGGATGTAATGACATTGTAATTACATTGATGATAGTATTGTAAATGTCCTTTTGCATATTTCATGCACAGTACATACAGTTTTATATTGTGTATTAAAGAGTACAATTGCAAAAAAAAAAAACGTTTTCAAAAAACGTGATTTTACATTGACTTATTGACTTACTGAGATATAGTATAATATTCCAACTCCTTATCACTGAATAATTTTTACAGTGATTAAAGACAATACATCCTGTAAGAAATTTGTACAAAATCTATACCTAAATCAAAGAGAAACACAAGCTACATTTTTTATGATTTGTAAATGCGAACTAATAGTGAACCATTGACCTCTATAATAGGAAAAACAAATATTATTGACAATAGTCAATTTTTATAGGTTTCTAATATTCTTTAAATTATATTTTCTTTTCAGGAGAAAAAAAATCTCAAAATGGTTTGGAGCAGTTCAAGAATGAGTACATGATGACAGAATAAATTATGCTTTTAATGCATTTTAAACTAAAGTGGTTAACTTGTTATTCATTCATTTTTATTATATTTGTACTTACATTTTTGTGTAATTTTTATTGAATGACATATATAATTCATTTAAAAGTGTAAGGATTTTTGGTCATGGATCTAGCATGCGAGTAGATTAGTGTTTTACAAAATAGTCAAGCCACTTCATCAAAAACTCTTTATTTTGTGAAAAAAACAGAGAATAAAATGATAGGACAGCAATAATGAACTAAATTAAGTACCAAACGTGTTAAATGGAAAAAACGACAAATAGTTGCACTTTTTTTGAGGGAATAGTTACAGTGTAAATTTTAAATGAAGTTATATTATGTTAACATAATAGTAATATTAAAAACATACTATAAGGCTGTGGTTAGAATGTGGTTTAAAGATTCAGGGTTAATTACATCTAATTATGCATATTTCATATGTGTCACCTTAAAGAGTCATAAAACACCAAAACACATGTTTTAAGATGTTGACAGTCATATATGTGTTGTTCAAAGACATGGGTCATCAGTGTTGCGTTTATAAATGTGCCGCAACAATGGTTTTGTTTCCATTTTCCTGCAATGAGATCACCACTGCGTGTGGACACACATTTGTGGAGTACAGTGGTCTGATAAATCGTGACAAAAATATGTTTGTAAGAAACATTTGTTTTTACCAGAGAGCTTGTTGCACCTGTATATGGTGAAATTTGCCACTGCTTTTAAAAATTTGTCTGCTTTTACAAAAGATGCAGTTCCTTTCAGACTTCATATTCCTGAATAAAAGTCAAAGTGCCAAACCGCAGTTAAAGTCGACAAATTAAGAATGAAACACCCAAAATCACATGAAATGTGGATAGCGTGGAAATGATGCAATGAGTTTAATTGAATGATGTGCTATAACATGTAAAACGAGATCATGAAAGGAATATTCAAAAAGTAACTCATGTAAACTGAAACTCCCCTTTTCATGCAAACCCTTCCCTCTTTCGCCACTCAACACTCCCACCTAAGCAAAGCTGGACCCATTTTCCTGACTTTTTTCAAACTAGAGGTGTGAAAACACCCTGCTGCGACAAGGAGGGTTTCATGGCCCTTCAAATTAAAGTGCTACCAAAATATATTTTACAAAACTTTTTTAAACCTAATACAACTTTATAAACAATAAATCAGTTTGTTTTTCTTAAATTATGTATGTGTTTTTATTTATTTTTTCATTTGTGCATACTTCATTGATACATATATTATTGCTAAAATTCTATTATTCACTAAAAATTCACAAGTCTGTGAAAATTCGAATAACTGCCAATGAGATAAATAATATACAATGTTCATTTAGTAAAACAGACCGTCTTAACCAAAATACAGATTAAAATCATGTAATTGTCAAAAATCAGAAAAATATTTATCGTTGTATTACTTTTGACAAACTATTTTCATCATACAAGGATTTGCTACACAATAAAAATGTTTCCATCCACCTATTTTTATCCCCATTTAAAACTCAGTTCAAAGACATGTGGTATAGGTGAATTGAATAAGCTAAATTGGCTGTGTAATTGTGTAAAAGCAAGAGAATATGGGGTAGTGTTTGGTTGCGGCTGGAATGGCATCTGCTGCCTAAAACATATGCTGGATAAGTTGGAGGTTCATTCCGCTGTGGGTGACCCCTGATTAATAAAGGGAATAAGCTGAAAAGAAAATGAATGAATGAATGAATGAATGAATGAACTATCATATAAAAATACCTGATGGAAATGCCAATATGTGAAAACAAATTTTAAAATCTTTATAAAAAATTATGCACACAAATAAGTAGTACTAACTTTTTATTTGATTGAGAAAAAGTGTTATTACCTCCCAGAAGGTACCTCCCGTCTTTAGCGTCTGCGCTCCTATAGAGCATCTCACTCTTCCAAAAGCCACTGTGTGTTTTCTGATGAGCAAGTAATTTATTATATAAGAAAAAAGCAACCCAGACTCATTCAGAAAACGTTGTCCTGTGGATGTTTCTGGAGACTGCGAATTATGTAGCCAGAGGTTCGTATGGCTGCATTTCATTTTTGAAGCAAACGCTATGGGGCGGAATGACGCCGTTCCTTTTCGCTTACCGACTGTACACGACGACGATGACCGGGTTTGAGTCCAGGGAAGAGTGGTTCCCGAAATCAGGTAAGACAAAAACAGAATCCAAAAAATAAAGTTCATCACAGGGTGAAAATGTGGTAAAATCGGAAACTCCCTAGCTTTTCTTTTTATGGATGGCTTTTGTAAATTGTTGGTCGGGTTTAGGGAAGTAAGCGTGCAGGTGAGGCAATCAGTGAAACTGGTTGGGTTTAGGGAAGAAGGAGGGTAGTTCAGTCGATTGGCTGGTTGTCCAATCATTCATTCAGTCAGTCAGACAGATGTTCTCCAGTGGGTTTACGTGAGAACAGCGTGGGTGCGAACAGCACTCATAAGTGACATTTAAGATAAAAAAAAGCACACACATCGACTTCGTGGATTCACGAAAACAAAAACTGCAAAAATACACACCTCCCGGGACGTACATCGCGGTCTCCAGAAACGTCCACAGGACTACGATTTCAGAATGGGCCTGGGTTGGAAAGAAAAGGCCCTCGGTGACTTCTTCTACCACAGCAAATTGCATTTTTCTTGTTGATATTTGGTGCCAGATTATCATGACGTCACGATTTTGTTCTCTTTGACTCATTGGACAGAATCAGTTTTCACAAATGTTTTGTGCCATATTTCAGTTGGAATGGAAATGTACTAATACTCAAGCTAATTTATATTAAGGATGAATTTAATGTGACAATGTTTACTTCATGTAGTTTTTAGTGTTCTTTATTATGAGTATCTGCATGTGTTTGAATGGGTTACGGATTGTGAAGTAGATGGGTGTGTGTGTGTGTGTGTGTGTGTGTGTGAGTGTGTGTGTGTGTGTGTGTGTGTGTGTGTGTGTGTGTGTGTGTGTGTGTGTGTGTGTGTGTGTGTGTGTGTGTGTGTGTGTGTGTGTGTGTGAGAGAGAGTGTATTGTGGGGGCAGGGTTCTTCACACATGTGCTGTCACTCAAGCCCTGCACACACACACATACACGAGGAACCTCAGTGTCTTGCTGCACACTTTACTTCAGTCGCCGGACACTGGTGTTGTATGGTTTGGCAGTGGTTTACTGTGGTCATTGAGGATCAAAAAGGCTAAAGATGAAGGCAGTGGTGGTTTTGGCGGCACTGCTGACTATTGTGTGTCAGGTGAGTTCAGCTTTACCTTCTACGTTTTTATCAGTGTATGCTGCACATTTTAATGCAAGGCCCTAATCCATTTCGGCACAGTACAATAATAAAAATGTGGAATGTTAATATAATATTCATATATATGATGCAATTAAGCAATAAAAAGAGAGATGTTTATAGATTGAATCATGCAGAGAATATGAAATGTAACATTAAAAAATAACAATCATAACTCCATAAAACATTTTTGCTGCTTGTTCAAAAATGTTTTGGATTTTGGGGGAAGGTAACTTAATTGTTTTATGTTTAATCAACTTAAAATTGTAAAAACCATGAAGTTAACTTAATTGATTTGCATTGGGATGATATCAAGAGCTTTTTTTACACTGATCATAAGATTTTTTTTTCTTTATAAAATGATACTACTTAAGCTGTTCAGTAGCAACTGATGTACTCTCACAGATGTGTCTATATGTATTTCACAAACAGACATTTTTCCCAGTCGTATTTAAAAGAGAAGGGTTAACATTGTCTTTTATATTTACAGAGCAAATTGCTCAATGAATTACACTATAAAAATGCTGGGTTCAACATAATACCTTTATGTTGTCCCTACACAAATCAATTAAGTAGGCTTAATTATTTTTACAAATTTAAGTCGATTGAACATAAAACAATTAGGCTAACCTAATTAATTTGTGTCAATGAAGAATTGTGTTAACTTACTTTACAGTTGAAATCAGAATTAATAAACCCCCTTTGATTTTTTTTCTTTTTTAAATATTTTCCAAATTATGCTTAACTGAGCAGCGAAATTTTCACAGTATGTCTGATAATATTTTTTCTTCTGGAGAAAGTCTTATTTGTTTTATTCCGGCCAGTTTAAAATAAAAAAAAAAAACATTTTAAGGTCAACATTATTTGCCCCTTTAAGCAATATTTGTTTTGATTGTCTCAAACCATGGTTATACAATAGCTTGCCTAATTAGCCTAACCTGCCAAGTTAAGCCTTTAAATGTCACTTTAAGCTGTATAGAAGTGCCTTGAAAAAGATCTAGTAAAATATTATTTACTGTCATCATGGCAACGATAAAATAAATCAGTTATTAGAAATTAGTTATTAAAACTTTAATGTTTAGAAATGTGTTGAAAAAATCTGCTCTTCGTTAAACAGAAATTGGGGGGGAAGGGGTTAACAGGGAGGCTAATAATGCTTCAACTGTTAGTAGTTTGAACAAGCAGCAATTTTTGGCATGAAGTAAATCTACTGTAATAAATGCTTCAAGGTTGAAAAATTAATTTTCGAAAACAACTTTAAAATTCATGTTCACCGACTAAATTTGTAATTAAAAGTGTGTGTTTTGTTGTTTGTTGTTGTTTTTATTACAGTAACTTCTCAAACAATAAGCGTAATTAATACATTCTTGAGCCAAAATCACCCAAACATGAGATGTTTATTAATGTAATGGTTATTAATAGTTAATATATTAATATATTAGTATTATTTATGTGTTAGTATTCATTAATAACATAATAAAACTAAGTTGCTCTTTCATTTTTTAACCATAACTCTCTAAATAATTTTCTCCAACTCATGATTGTTTAAAAACAGTTCAAATTCTCAAATATTATAATTAGTATGTTTGGTAATTATAATCATTATGTATTTTAACACTAGATGAAAGTGTGGTGAAAAAAGTAATATATTACAATCTTAAGTCCCTTGTTTTAAAGGAACTAAATGTGTTAATAAAAGTAATGTGAAAATATGCTGGTATTTTTGTGTTTTTGAGTAAAGTCAACTAAATAGGTCCAAGTTACAATGTATACTTACTTTATTTTTAAGAAAAGTAACTTGTTATTTTAAGACAATGTTGTTGTTCACTTTAAGTAACTTATCACTTTTTACAGAGTAAAGCAGCTGCTAAATTATTTCGGTGAGATGCCAAAATACACACAGGGGACCTATTATGCAAAAATCATTTTCAATAAGAGGCTTGAACACAGTTGTGTACATATAACTAGCTTCTAATGGTAAAAATACATTAATTATATTTTTTATAATCACACTTCATAAAAACAGTCTGTAGAAACACAACGTAGGACGTTGATCTTGTTTTTAAATCCTGTTTTACTGCTATATAATGTAATTACCATAGTTAGATTGTAATTTTAGCAGCTTGACACATTAACAGACTGGTTTGCTGTAACAAATGTTTTCTTTAGCATATTTTCGTATTTTCCTCCTCATGTTTTAGAGAAAAAAGTTTGAGAATGTCTTTGATTATTACAGCACAAGTTGCTTAGTAAAGTCAAATGTTATAAACTTAAAACGATGAAGGTACTGTAATAAAAGCTTCAAATTTTTCGATGGAAATCAATGTTTAAATAGAAGGCTATTTCACTTGATTAGCCCTAAAGGCTAAAGATTCTGTGTTTAGGAAGTGGTTACAGTTTTGACCTTGGGCCACATCTGCTAAAATCATCTATAGTGCTGCAGTGTCAAGTAATTGATTGTTAACGTTGTCTTCAACTGGCTGCAATTACTAGCTGTCAGATGAATTAAATGATTGGTGGAAATGAATGATCTAAACATGCTTCGTTTCTGATGAATTGAATGATGACAGATAAAGAATAATAAGAATAGAAACTCAGCTGGCTTGGCCCTCGCTTGACTTCACAGTTTGAAGGCCCCCTTTGGTCTGACAGGGGGTGTAATCATGAAGACAATGAATGAGAATGCAAACAAAGCCACACGGCCATAAATATTCCCCACAGTCAGTGATCAGGACTGTTTAGATTTGCAATAGGACACAGATTCTGAAATGAGAGATTTGTCCTGGGCCTGCTCTTGTGGCAAGCTTTCATCATTCTGTACATAGACAGGAGAGAACAACTGCTGTTGAGAACAACTGCTTTAAAGTTACTTAGACTTCATGTTTTGAAGGTCATTTGATTCAAGTATTAGTAATTATTTGACTTATTTTCAGTGATTAGTAATTGCCATTTGCAAGCTCAAGTCTAGTTTTGCTCAATTAGAAACTTTGTATGAAATATATCTAGTCCAGTGCCCACCAACCTTTTTTAGCCTAAGATCCCTAAACTTGGCCTTGCAGAAAGACAAGATCTACATACACCAATACACCAGAGACCGTTGTTGACTGAGTGACTGACTGACTGACCAATCGACTGACCCACCCTCCCCCTTCCCTAAACCCAACCAATAGTGTTTTAAAAAGCACAGATTGACTAAGCTTCCCTAATCCCAACTAACAGTTTTCAAAAGCAATCCAGAAAAAGAAAAGCCCTCATGGCCGCCTGATTTTTACCACGCTTTCAGACCTTACCACGTTCTCACCCTGTTATTAATTTGTTTATTTAAATTTTTACCATTTGATTTTGGCTTACCTGCTTTCTGATACAGTTCTTTGTAAACTCGAACCCCATCATCAGGATTAATTCCTTTCTGCATCCACTGATGTACACGGCAAACTACTAGGGAAACTGTTAACAGTGATAAAGCCGTCCACAGGGAGGATTCGTCAGCTAGTAAGTGCGAAAAGAAACAGAAGGGACTTCCGGTAAAGCATGTGTTTGAGGGGGTAGACGCACTTGAAGTTAGCTCCCGAGCATTTTGTCATTTAATATATCTGGCTGGCTGCTTGAATCTTCGAACTCACTTGGTGGTTTAATTTTTGTATCGCGCATCAAACCGTTTTAGTTTGGATGGACATATGACGTCTGAAAGGCAGAAAAACTCAAAGCATCAGAGGCTGCAACAGAGACTCATGGTGACAGGCTGCCGCTGGATCTGGAAAATCTGCATGCCACTCTGATCTCCAAACTAACTTGTACCATGGCAGAAGGTGAAAGCAGCAATTGACTCTGCTCTTGCTCTAGTTGTTGCATCTCTTGAGAGTTTTTAATCAAGCATCAAGTCACAAGGTCGACGTATTGACAAACTTGATCAGCACATGAACGGTTACAGTGACCTCCTTGCAGCACTGGAGTAGACGATGCTAAAGTTGAATTCAGCTAATAAACTACCCACCGAGAACGTGGAGGACTTGGAATCGTGCTCTCAGCGTTGTAATCTCCAGGTTATCGGCCTTCCAGAAGTAGAAGGGAGTGATCTGGTCACATTTATGATGCATTTTTTCCAGGACGTAATCAGATCAGAGTTGTTTTCAGCTTCCCCGTTGATGGAGAGAGCGCATTGTATTGGCCCCGCATCTTCGGCTGACCGTGAGAATCAAAGAGCTAGAGTGATGATCGTGCAGTTTTACTACTTCACCGATAAAGAAAAGGTTGTTGGAACCAGCTCTTCTATCAGAGTTCATTTTTCCTGATTATTATTTTAGTGTGGCTAAAAGAAAAGAAACAGAAGTCAAACGAACTGCAGTAATATGTAGCTCTGGCTACATAATTCACGCTCTCCAGAAGTGTATGCAGGGGAATATTTTCACAATGAGCCTGTGTTGCCAAAAACTGAGAGAAAAATAAAGCTATATTTTCCAACTGCTTTTCCAACTTGAGACCTTTAATTTAACATTTTTGAACTGATATAATAAGCACTAATCTACTTTTTGCTTTTGTAATCCTTTCAGTTCTACATTTGAATTTTATAAATGAGCTGCAATAAAACTCCCCTCAAAAATTCTAACTAAACAATGATAAATATATTTAGACATTATAATCTAATTCAGGGCCACACTGTGGCTCAGTGGTTAGCACTGGACCAGTTGGCATTTCTATGTGGAGTTTGTATGTTCTCCTCGTGTTGGTATGGGTTTCCTCCGGGTGCTCTGGTTTCCCCCACTAATCCAAAGACATGTGCTATAAGTGAATTGGATAATCTAAATTGACCTTAGTGTATAAATTTGTGTGTGAATGTGACTGTGTATGGGTGTTTCCCAACACTGGGTTGCAGCTGGAAGGGCATCCACTGTATAAACATATGCTGGAATAGTTAACAGTTAAATAGGGGACTAAGGAAGGAATCAATATAATTCAGCAAT